AAGGTTGCTGTCATCAATGGGAAAAAGAATTTCAAAGTTTATCAGGAAATTTTGCAGGAGAATTGTCCGCCAAGCTCAACAGAAGAAGTGTGATGCAACAGAACAATGAGCCAAACCACAGAAGTAAATCAACAACAGGATGGCTTCAGCAGAAGAAAACACTCCTTCTTGAGCAGCCCAGTCAGAATCCTGACCTCAACCCAGATGCTGTGGCGTGACCTCAAGGGAGCGATTCACACCAGACATCCCAAGAATGTTGCTGAGCTAAAACAGTTTTTTAAAAGAGGAATGGTTCAATGTTCAATCCTGACTGCAACTACAGGAAATGTTTGGTTGAGGTTTTTGCTGCTAAAGGAGGGTCAACCAGTTAGTTAGTAAATCTAAGGGTTTACGTAATTTTTCCACCCTGCACTGTGAATGTTTACACGGTGTGTTTAATAAAAACAAACATATAATTGATTGTATGGTATTAGTTAAGCACTGTGTTTGTCTATTGTTGTGACTTAGATAAAGATCAGATCACATTTTATGACCAATTTATGCAGAAATCCAAGAAATTCCAATGGGTTTAAATACTTTTTCCTGCCACTGTATACCAAAGCTTTTATTTTTCAGCACTTCCGTTAGTTGCTGTCTCGACAAATACAGAGACAGCACTTTCACTTCCTTCTTGTATTAATTAATGTAATTAATTAAGTAAATTAAAGTGACCTTACTTTTTCATTACTCAGCCTTTGTCTACCAAAAAGTGTCATTATTATTCAGTTAGATCAATGCAATTGGTCTAGTTCATAAGACTTTCAGATTTTTTTGCTTTAGCATTGTTATTGTGAAGGAAATTCTTGTGAGCTGGTCAACCCTTAATGATGAAATATTATATAATTATATATAATTTCATATTATCATCTGGTTGCTGCTGTTTACATTCACCCCAGATGCAAAATAAAAAAATGCACTGTGGAATGTTTTGGGTGTATAAGTGTACAGTATGTATACAAATAACTGTATATATTGTTTTGTTTTATTTTATATGTTACCATATTTTAATATATACACTTAATTATATGTTGTATGTGTAGCATGAAGGAACAACAAATTTTGTTTCGTTTTGCAGCCTTGTGCTGTATAATAAATAAACAACCTTGTACCTTGAAAAAGGTTTCAGGAAACTCAGGATGTCTTACAGTAATGTTTATTTAAGCTCTGCCAAGGAGAAAATGGCAACACCAGTATGGAGTGATGACACTGTGTTGTTCACAATATTTATCCCTTTACTGTCCCTATGAAGTATACAATGTATCCCCTACAATGTCGTTCTCTCTAATGCTTATACGTCATGTTGGAATTACGAAGAGCTCCATATCTCTTGTCCTTGGCCGGTGGAGCCCCAAGGAATTTTTCATGGGTGGCCAGATGTGGCCACTAGAAATCCTGGGGTAGCACACCAAAACCAAAAGCCATAACTGAATATCAGTTCTATGTCCCGGCTATTTAAATGAACGATGGGAGCCGACTCTCAGTAGGCTATACAGAATTTTATGCATATGTGACTCTCTTGTCTCGATTTTATCAGGGTAGCTGTGGCCAATCCTGGCCACCCCTTGACGGTGCCCCTGTCCTTGGCTGTCAAGGCCACTAATAAAGTGATGGCTTGATGGCTTTGATTGGTTCTCATTTTTGAATTTGGTGCATTGCTCGTCTGCCAGTTAAACTCCTTCTGTCTTTTTAAAATGGTTAATAGTGAAAAAATTCATTAGACAGTATATTACTGGACAAAGTCACCCAGTTCGCATCAGACATGATTAAATGGTTGAAACGCAGACAAAAATCATCTGGGCCTATAGAAAACATGCGACAGAAGGCAAATGTGGTGCTGAAAAGTTAAGGGAGAAAAAAAAAGAATTCTGGGCAGATGTAAACATTTAGAAAATCATGCAAATAACTTTTTTAGTTTAAGACTTTATTATTCTACTGAAACAACTGAAATCCAGCGCACACCATGGCACTGCTGGCCGTGCTGGAAAGCAGCCTGCGTCTCTCTTTAACAAGCCGGCTGGCACCTACTTTCACATTCAGTTAACTGCACATTAAAAGCGTATTTAGTCTCTGCAGAGCAAACGTAAACTTCACACTGTAACATCCAAGTCTGATGATCACTAGATTAATTTTATAATAACCAGCAAAGCAAACTGCATTCAAATGACCATGTTGCAGCTGTTTTTTTCTTTGAGTAAAGATTTTGAGTACTCTACCTGCCACTGACCAGCGGCACCTGTACTTGTGCTGTCATGGTGAACATGAGACAGAGAGCAGAGATGAGGGCAAGAACAGAACAGAACCACAGTCCAAAGCACCAGTTTATGGTAAGATTGATGATGATATGGCTTATTTAGTTATGGACTCAAGGTCTCAGCTGAAGTGATTACTTTACTTTAGGAAAGTTAGAGAGGTGTTTCTAGTTTTGAAAATGTATTTTAATGGCTCATTTAGTTATGTACTCTACCTGCATAAAATTCTCAAGAATGCAGGAATAAATGTCTCTAAAGACCCAGAGGCCACAACAAATGCTTTGTCTGGAGAGCGGGTAGACCAGGGACAAACTCCTGGGCCACTCTTTTGCCTCTGTATGTGACTATCCTTGACCTTAAAAACTTGTGCCTTGTGTGTCTGTGTCTCTGCTACGTGTCCATAAACAATTTAAAAGTAATCAAAATGTTCACAGAGATGAGCAACCTGCAGTATTTTAAGAGGAAGAGGACAGAGGTCACAGGAGCAGGAGTATAAAAACTGAGGAGGACGAGCTTGTGAGTTGTATGGATAGCAACTAGACAGTAAATTCTAAAACTCACGTAGTAAAAAGACTTTGATATTCCAACGGCATGTCATCAGAGTTTGCACTGAAGACAGTTCTGTGTTCACAAACATTTGTTGCAGGGAGAGTCAGGGCCAAGTGAGACACAGGAAATATCACAGACAGCTACATCAAGTGTAACATCAGTATAACTAAATACATTTGTACTGTGGCTACATTAACTAGCAGCTGTTCCATGGTTTTTGTGGTATGTAGCCGGTTTTGTTCTAGTTATATTATACTCCCTCTCTCTGACCCTCTCCCTCTTCGAGTTTTCATAATCTCCCCTCTCCAGTCTTCTGTCACTACAAAGACCCTCTTTCAGCCACACTAATAAGTACATTCTGTTTTCAAAAGGCATTAGAAATGAGCATTTAAGTGCTTTATTCAAAAAATCCCCCGAACACCCCTAGCATTTCAGCATCCCCCCCAGGTTCAAAGTCGCTCCTACGCCCCTGGTTTAAGTTTATGTTGTGCTTGCTCAACAGTTGTTTGATAAATGGCTATTAAAACACATTCGGAGAGGATTGGAAAGGTTGTTTCCCCCCGACAATTTTGATCATTTTGGCGCAGAGGATTTTCCTTTCCTTCCCTCTTTGGGGGCGCCAAAAATTTCTCTATGCAGGTAAAACCCTGAGTGTGTCAAGCTTATTATTTATTATTATTATATATATTATATATATTATATTCCCAGCAAATCTGATGTTAATATATAGATTTTACTCATGGATAAGGACGTGAGGCTACTGTATGAATTAGCACTTTAGAGATATGATAGAAATTATAATTATATACATAAACTATATATGACTGGTCTGGTTGTATATTCAGTAAAAATAGTAAAAATGGACAGATTTAGCCGGAGTAGTAGCTATTGCTTATTGACAACATATTTCTGTGGTTTTTACATGGTTTGAGAATAATCAAGAGGTGAATTTGTGCATTAATGGCAATTAAAGCAAACCAGGCGGGACTTTACCAGACCCCCGACTCATATATTACAGCATTGAATATTTATTCAAAATAATGTTAAAAGATCATCTTGTGTTGTTCTCATCATCCAATTGTGCCGTTACACCCCTAATCTGAGAAAAACAACTTTTTGACAGCAATCACCAAACCTTTCAAATGTTGAGCTCCTTGTTCTGCATAAACGGTTATGATTATGACAAGTTAGTACTGAGCATTAACAAATCAGAGACTAATCACCACGTAATGAGTATTTTTTCTTGCACAATAATTTAAAGAATGAAAACAACCCACAAAAATTAAATGGCTGTTTTGTCCACCTGTAATGTGTATTGTAGTCTGCTGGTGGCAAGCTAGGCTATATAAACTCGTCTATACTATTTTCTGAAATTATAATGACTAAAATGAATCCTAATCAAACCTTAACCACATGGGTGTAATATAAGATCACGGTTATATTTGTGAAACAGTTGAATTGTTAGATTTATAATATGTGAATGGAGAGTAGCCTACTGGAACCTACTTTTTTCCACTAAAAGCACTGGAACTAGTCGACCTAGTAAACTTAAACTGGCTCGTTTCACGAGCTCACGTGTGTTTTGGAGCTTTCATTAGAGATAGTACATCAGATCGATAAATCTTCTCGTAAAATGAAAAAAAGGTAGTTTTCTGAAATCAGACCTGTCTTCAAGTTGCAGACACAAGCGCCGGTGTTATGCCGAGTTTTGCCTGCCTGCCGAGAATTACATGCACCTCCAAATACTGCTTTTAAACGCTGTAATATTCTGTGTGGGCTTCATCAATGGTGATAAATGATTCGAAGTATATATTTTTATGAACGTTTGGAGTCTTTAATATTTTAATACACTTAGTAGAAGCACCATTCCTTGACATTCAGTAAATATATGTGGTAATAATGCTGTTTGATCAATGAGCACAGCAAAGTGTCTGAGAAGGACCCAAAGAGGTGGATGCATAATTCGGCAGATCAAATTTTGTAGGCTACCTGCCGAGATTTGCATCCACCTCTTTTCTCAGCATAAATGACCGTTAGCACCCATGAGGTGCATGCAATTCTCGGCAGGCAGACAGAATTCGGCACAACACCGGTGATCCCTTCAAACGATCTGATTGGCTTGACGCTATCCGCGTCATTTAAGCGCCTGCGTGATCTCAGCACATGCGCCGCAATGTTTTGAAAAGCTGGGCAGCTAAAGTCTTTCAATACACCGGTTAGCTTCGCATGTGGCTGTGTTTCTTTACATTTCTTTCATTTTGGATCTAATATGAGGGCAAATAAAACATGCCAAAGTCTCTGAAAAAGTCCTGCACCAAGCAGACCTCCATTAGCAGGTACTTCGGAGGGCTGAGCAGCAGCAGTGCCTCCAACTCTCAGTGTGGGATTATCCAAAACCCTGCTGAGCACCAGCTTTCCAGAGGCAAGGTGAGGTGTGCTTCGTTGATTAAATCACACACACACACACACACACACACACACACACACACACACACACACACACACACACACACACGCTCTGATCACATATGATTCACTTAATGCGAAATGCTAATCACTAAACCTCAACTGCTTTTGTCCTGCAGCAGAAACCTTCCTCTGATAATGATGATTTTGGACTGCCAACAAAACGAGCCAAGCTTTCTTTACAAAACCAGCAGGTGGAGGATTTGGACTGTGATCCTGTTTACTGTCAGAGCACCAAAGGTGAGTCTCAACCCTCACGCAGGTCACACAAGGCTCACCCGTTTCCAGCTTCCAAAAGCATCACATTTCTCCAAACGGCATGTGCAGTAAACGTTAAATCCTCCTGTTATTTTGGAAGATGGAGCTGCTCATGATGCTTTTTGTAGCGGAGTTTTCACTGATATTTGTCTGACAAACTGTAGATTAGGGGCAGATACAAATCTTTCTGAGTGCATCCAGGCAGAGATTATGTATGAAAAATAGTCAAATGTTTAAACAGTTAGTATTTTATTTTATGGGGCTTTATATGAAATAACCGTGGTGGTAAAAGTATATCAATTGCTTGAGTAAAAGTACCAATACACCAACATAAAAATACTCCAATACAGAGAAACATCCTGTATTCAAAGACTTACTCAAGTAAAAGTACAGAAGTATTAGCAGTAAAATGTACTTAAGTAAGAGAAGTAAAAGTACTCGTTCTGCATTAAAATGTACCCTGTGTGACTGATGCATGATTCTAGATTGTTAATATGTGTCAATGTGTAAGCAGTTGTACTGTTGTAGCTGCTCGAGGTGAAGCTAGTTTTAACTACTTTACGTACAGGGGACCTAGGGGTCTGGCCCCTCCAGAAGGTCACAAGATAAATCTGAGGTATTGCGAGTTCATTATTGGGAGAGGAAAAAAGAAAAACAAAGTTCTGATACACAAATCTGTTTTCAGTTTTTTGTCTTGTGAAAAATCAGATCATTGGACCCCTTTGGACTTCAGCGTTATTTAAATGAAACCATACAAGAACTTAATAGGGGAAGTGTCTCTTTGAAACTGCTAACTCTTGTGGAAATCTGAGATGTGACAGGGAGACACTAGGTACTGCTTATTTGTAAGAGGTTACTGTCGTGGAAATTATATTCCTGGTGAGGGGTTGAACAAAGAATTGAGTTACAACCAACCTTTGCCTTGGAAGAATTTATTAACAAAAGAGAATAAACAGAAGTACTAAAACACATATACAGCTGGTCCAGAGACCTGCCGTCTAGGGCGGCTTCCGATGTCTGGCCCCGAGCAAAGGGATGCATCATCATTTACACAGTCTAGGTTTCTATGTTTTGGGGAACAGAGATCCTCTCTTGGCCTTGAATGAACCTTCCAGGAGAGGAGAAGAACAACAAGAGAGGAAAACACCAAAACAATCTAAACCCTAGTAAATGTGGACAGACTAACATAGGAGTATAGGAGAGGAAAGGTTAAGGATAAAAACACAATCTATCTATAAGCCATAACGAGAATAGTAATAATAATAATATTAAAAGATCAAACATAAAAGGAAGAGGACACAATTTTCTACCATAACAGTTACAAGGCAAAAAGGTTGGAAACAACCGGTTTAATCTTTAGCTGTGTGTTGTACTTTCATATTTTTCTTGGAAAATATGATATTTTTTTTGTGTATATTGTGTAGGCTGCCTCCCTATCTCTGTCTCTCTCTCTCTCTCCTTCACCCCCAGCTGGTTGAGGCAGATGACCGCCCACCCTGAGCTATGGTTCTGCTCGAGGTTTCTGCCTCTTAAAAGGAAGTTTTTCCTTGCCTCTGTCGCCTAGTGCTGCTCTTGGTGGGAACTGTTGGGTTTCTGTAAATATCATCACAGAGTATAGTCTAGACCTGCTCTTTTATGAAAAGCGCTCTGAGATAAGTGTTGTTGTGATTTGGCACTATATAAATTGAATTGAAGTAAAAAGTACAATATATCCCTCTGAACTGTAGTGGAGTAGAAGTGTAAGGTATCATAAATTGGAAATACTCAAGTAAAGCACAAGTATCACCAAATTCTTCTAAAGTGCAGTACTTGAGTAATACTTAGTTGCTTTCTACCTCTGCCTAATAATTATACTTTAACTGTATTTCTTCTCTCTTCAGGGAAGAAGCTAGCATCCACATCAGGCGTCCTCTGCTCGTCCACCTTGGAGAAGCTGAAAGGCTTCACCTGCTCGGCTGAGCCCAGTGTCGGGCGCAGTGACACTCAGAGGGAAGAAAAGGAGACGGGTGGGGCCAGCAGTAAAATCTGTGACCAAGGAAGTAGTGTTTGCCCTCCTCAGGACATTACAGATCAACACAGAGTTAAAAACAGACTTCAAAAGACAGAGGAGGAGCAAGAGGATGAAGAGGACGAAGAGGAGGAAACTGTAAAAGAAAAGGGGAGTTCGGGGCTGACGGCTACAAAACAGGTACACAATGTAAATGTCGACTCCATCACATCACTGCCAACGGAAGACATTTTTGGGCAGCAGGTTAGCCCATTGATGAAGGTTTAAGTCCTCATGCTGGCAAGCATCTGCCCTGCTAAAATGTCCATGAGCAAACGGCTACAAAAAGTAAAGATTTTTATACGTACCTGAATACTGGGTGAAATGTTTAACCCACCTGCAACATTTTGTGATGCTGTGCATACTGTGCAAGTAGCAAGATATTGAATATCACTGCAGTCTCACTGTTTGACTGATCTAAAAACCTTTTGAAACACTTGATATCGGTCACATAGAGAATATCTGTGTTGATTTTGGTAGCATTTGAACAAAGACTTGTGGATGTGCTGAAAAAATGTTAAGCTCTCTAGGACGTACGGGTGATTTTCTTAGATTTTTTGAAGTTTGGAATGAGAAATGAGAAACTTACATTTGTTATAATAAGCAACACCCACGTTGAGCAATCATTACCACATTTTATGCATCAGCTGAGTAGTGACCCTAGATCGTACAAACCGAATTTTTTCCAAATCCATCCAGCGAATTACAAGGTATAAACTTTTTGCTTGTGTAGTGCCCCCCAGTGGAAGAATATCCCAGGACTGCTCAGCGAAGCCCGGACCGAGCATCTGAACAGATCTGTCAAGTTTGGAGACAACAGCTTAAGCCAATTTTGATTTACGGGCATTTATGTAAAATTGTTTGTAAATACACAAAAGTAAAAATTTATGGAAAAAAACAACAGATTAGTATATCAAAATTATTTTGATAACTTTTGATCAGTGATGTCCTCAATGATCCTGCCAAAGTTTCAGGTCGATTGGCTAAACCGTCTGGGACAAGTTCGCAAAAGTAGGTTTTAGAGAAAAGTGATTAAAAAGTTGCATAATTTGACATTTTTAGAGCAGATAACCATTGTAGCAAAGATGCAGATGAATCCAGAGATTAAAATAATGAAAGAAGTTTGAATCTAAATGAAGCCGTTTTCCAGAAAATTGCGTAAACGTAAAGTTGGTAGAGAGAGAAAACCCACCTGCCAATTTTGGTGAGTTTTCGTGCAGCAGTTTTTGCTGCACAAACACTTTTAGCGGAGGAAAGAAAGAAAGATAAAGGAGAACAAAAACAATAGGGCTCCAGCAGCTTTGCTGCTTGGATCCCTAATGAAGCGATTGATCTCGAATGGGGAAATAAAGTTAGCATGAAGTACGAGTGGGAAATAGAAAAAAAGCTTTGAGTGGGGAACTGTGATTTTATGTGTTTTTTTTATTTTGCAGGCGTTGTGCTTGTCTCAGTTTGCCAAGTCAGGGGGAGGAGGTGGCGGAAGAGGAACAGGAAGGGGTGCAGAGCTGAGTGCTCCGTCCGACTCTAGTGCCCCCAACAGACGCTCAAAGAGCATGTACACTCCTCTGGAACAGCAGGTCATCCAGCTGAAACAGCAGCATAAGGATGCGCTGTTGGCTGTGGAGTGCGGTTACAAATACAGGTTCTTTGGAGAGGATGCAGAGGTGAGAACTGAGTTCATGATTTGCGAAGGAAATCAACAGTATCAGTCCAAAATATATCAAATATGTTACTAAAATACATATAAGCATTTTACATGATGGTGATCAAATGTTGGAGATCTCAGTTCATAAAAACCTACTTAAAAACACATTTTAGAGAGCATGTTAGAAATTCACCGGAAATCTGAGGCGGAAGAGAGGTCATGCCTGAACTCCCAACATGGCCTCAGTTATCCTTTAAGCCAACACAGACATCGTGTGTGTGTGTGTGTGTGTGTACAGATTGCTGCAAAGGAGCTAAATATCGTCTGTCATCTGGATCATAACTTCATGACGTGCAGCATCCCCACGCACCGTTTGTTTGTTCATGTCAGACGGTTGGTGTCCCACGGACACAAGGTGGGGAAACAAATCTTGTTTGTATTTAGAAATCCAAGCTGTTTAGAGCCACATTGTTTCTTATCTCTGCATTATTGTCTCAAATTTTTTAGGTTGGTGTGGTTAAGCAGACAGAGACGTCTGCAATCAAGGCCTCAGGGGCCAATAGGAACGCTCTGTTCACCCGTCAGCTCAGCGCTCTGTACACCAAGTCCACTCTGGTGGGAGAGGGTATCCTTATAGGCTGTGAATATCTGTGTGTGTGTCCTTAAGCCTGCCTTTAATATCTCTGTATGTCTGAAGTGATGTCCTTAACAGTTTTTTGAGATGTAAACCCAGTCTGCAGACTCGGCGATATGGATGAGGACGGCTGTGGTGACGTGGTGATGGACCCTCCTGACAGCTTTCTGCTGTGTATCAGTGAGAACTGGGACAAACTGAAGAAGCTTCTAACCTTGGGGCTGGTGGTGAGTCTGATCACGTTGTTCAACTTTAAGCAGGTTAATATTTATAGTTAATTTGAAAATTAAACCAAGATTACATGTGAGCTTGTTTGTCAATGTACACTGAGGATTTGTGTTGTTTTTTGTCTGTTTTTTATATAGTTTACTGTTAATTACCAGTTATTTTGAATGTTCTCTCACTCTGTAGTTGATGAGGCGACATAATCTCATCTGTGCAGAAGGACTGAGAGATTATAACCGTGAGATAATTTAAAAAAGAAAAAGTTAGCTGGCAGAGATTTTTTGACTCTGTTCATACCAAATTAACTTCCCTTTAACATCTATGGTCTTTTAGATTAGTATAATGTTCTGATTAATATCTCCTCCCTTGTCAGGTCTTTAGGTTTGCTAAAAACAGATATTCCTGTCTGATTATTTTATTCATAAAGAGATAATAATAAAGTGATGCTAGAGTAATTAAATACAAGTTCATGTTGGTCACAGCTGGGTTGTAAAGAAAAAAATGTATTTGTTTTTATCGTATTGCCTCTTAACGTGCGTTCACAACTTTTCGCAGTTTTCCAATGTAGCATCAACTATGAAGTCTTATTCCCTTCATGCTGCACTAAATTACTTTATCTTTTTATGGTGCAACTACAATGAGGTGAACTTTGAGCACAAGCTGTACTGCTTTGATATAATCTGATTTAGAAGAAATGACCCACTTTTACTGTATTAAAAAAACAGTCTTTTTATTATATGAGCAAGATAACATTGCCCCCCCAAAATGTTTTTTCTTTATTTCTTCAGTGTGTCCAATCATTTTATACATGTGTTTGTGTAGGCAGTTCAGCCCAGCACAGGAGACGTGTTACTGGACTGCTTCCCTGATGGTCAGTCTCGCTCTGAGCTGGAGGGTCGTGTCCTAAAGATCAACCCTGTGGAAATCCTGGTGCCCTCCAACCTCTCAGAACAAACCCTCAGACTCCTGCAGAGCATCACCAATGCCAGGTAATCTGCTGTCAGGACACTAGGAGGCAGTCTGTGCCCATTTTACCACATGCCAGTATATTCTTACTGAAGTGATGAACTGTGCTACTTATCTGTGTGTTTACAAAAGTGTGTGTTTTATGAGTTTAGTCTATTTCATTCGGAGGGATTGTGTTTAGATTTCCCCTGGCAGGTAGACCGTTGTTTTGTCTGGAGCTGTCTGGGCTCAGTCTGGAAAAGGAAATCAATGCGGGCTCATTGAGAGTTTATGTGGTAATGGAACCACGGCACCCTGGGTTCTACCGCGGGGCTGAACAGGGTCCCACCAGGGCTTATTATTTGAAAAGTTCACAGACAGACTTTCCCCCTAAACTGTTTTCTTTATAATGAATATTTGTATTCTGTTTCATTGGTAAAAGTCTTAACTGTATTCAAAATTTTTAACTACTTATTTAAATTTGTTTATTATAGAAATTATAACACATGTAAGTAATAAAGTTCATTGCTCTTTTTCCAAACTGCAGCTGCTGTGAAGTCAGATGGAGCAAACTATAGATATACATGGGTATGAGCATGTCTCCGAGTTTTACAATGTACTTACCATTTACAAAATTACATCTAGGGGACCCTGAGAAGTGGTGGAAAAAGTATTCAGACTAAAATCATAATGGAAAAGTACTGCAACACAAGTAAAGGTCTAACATTTTGACTGTTCCTCTGGATAAAGTAAACATTTTAGGTGTTAAAATCCAAGGAATTAAAGTACAGGTTCTACTCTTTTCAAGCCTGTCTTAAAACAATAGTCAGGTGTCCCTGTGAACATTGGAACAGGGTTTGATTGCTGTAATCATTTCTCCTGTTCATATCGACCTTTAAAAGAACCTTTTGTAATGTGCTTTCAATGCAAATCCACATTCTGTGTACAAATGTGACTAATTACGACTGCTGAATCTAATATGATGCTTCAGCGGTTGTAGTCAAATCAAGTGGATATCCTCCCAGGTTACAGCCTTTTTTAATACAAAATGTACTGTTTCTGTTACTGTTCCACTGCAACTCATTAGGGAAACACTCTCCAGGTTACAAAGGTAAATTTATACTAAATAGACTGTAACTTTGGAAGATATCCACTTGATTTGTCCAACTCTGCTGAATCACCTCCGATAAACTTTTTACACAGAACGATGGCTGTGGATTTTGTCCTCCATCACTTACATTGAAAACACATTAAAAATGATATTTTATTGGCCAGTATGATCAGAAATTATTACAGCAAGCAAAACATCTTAACGTTTATATGGATACTTGACTACCGTTTCAATACAGACTTTGAGCACATAGCTGAGTAGTCACAGTAAAGGTAACGCCATCAGCTCAAATCAATAGAGACATTTGGCAGCAGTGTCCCACTGAGTAGCTCAGCATAAGCACACGAGGTAAAGGGAGTGGTCAACTATTATGCTGGACTTACAAGCTTCAACCAAATCTCTGATGTAAAAGCAGACTTCCATTCAGCATTTAGCTTGCCGGCTGCTGTATGAACCACAAGATCCGAAAGAGTTCAGGATTTTGTCTTTTGCTTCATTGGCTGGCTTAACAGAGAGGCCCGCGACAGTGACTTTGAACTGACATATAACATAGAAACCTGTTGCCTCCCATTGTGTGCACCCAGCATGTTCACACCAGTGGGGAGTGGTTTCCTTTGGAGGTTGCCAGTGATTGCATTATGCTGTGAAAATGAAACGAGGGAGTGGGAGGGAGTGGATTTGATTAGATGGGGATGGTTGGATAAATGGGAGGGAAGTCTGCTTCTTTTGTTTGACTTCTTGATGGTGCATATTTTTCTTTTTTCCACCCTTTAAAAAAAAATTTAAATGGCTATTCCATATCCTTTTTAATTTCCCCCTCAGTTTAAATTTCATTCTGAAACATTTGATTAGTCTGTATTCATTCCTCTCTTTCTTTCTCACTCTCCCTCCTCTTTTCTGCCGTCTGTGTGGACTGAATATTGCGAAGATGTGCCTGTAAAGGCCAGTCCAATTATTGTGTTTGAACAGCACTGCTCTCTAGCGTTCTGCTCATCAGAGACACGACGGTCAGTTTGCAGCCTGTATCACACAAATGCAGCTTCATCTCAGACAGAAAATGTATCACATTTATATTCACACATGCTACTCTGCTACACCAGGCCTATTTTGCATTGCTGCTATTGGCGACCTCTCAAGATATTCTCAAGGGATTTATTTTTTCCTCAACCGTGATTCATCAGACTTAAAAGACACTTAAAATACATAAATTATTCTGAAATAGATGTTTTAATGGATATCAACTCTGAGTACATTACAGTAATGTCACTCCAACACATTAAAAAAACACTAAAGCAAGGCCTACCCAGGTGAACATTTAACAGGAGAGCTCTGTGTGCTGTTAGCTCAGCAGCCTCCATGCCTCTGGGATGTGCTGACGAGACGGCCCCCCTGGCAACAGGGTTTATGTGTCCATGTGCAGCAGGTAATGAGTCCCTGGGAGGTTGGTAGTAGCTAGGTGCAGTATTAGTTGCTTTAATCATCCACAACCTGGAGTCATGAGTTAGGATCAGAACAGTGAAGGGGTTTAGTGCAACCCAAGTGCTCGCCTGCTGATGCTGTCAAAACATATGTCCTCACTTTGCCCAAGCTTTTAAGTTGATGACTGACACTCATGAAAGAGAGTCGTCATGGGTACATGGTAAGACAGCAGTCGTGTATCACACACACACACACACACACACACACACACACACACACACACACACACACACACACACCCCAAAGACATAAAAATGTGTAGATTTTAATGGCCTCTCTCTATGTATTCACCATGCATCAATAGATACTGATTGATCGCTTTAATCTGTTGTGCACAGTAACCTCTGATCTCTGGGTCACAATATCTCTGACTGAACCTTTACACGTCCCTGCTTTTGGTTGATTATCACCATCACAGAGCTCTGAGCATTTGAACAACAACAAAAAAGAAATTGCCAAAGAAGTAGGGTGTCACTTCTTCATGTGAAGTACAAAACAAAACCCATCTTCTCACTTACCTTTGTTGGGTCTAGCCACTGATAGTTTTGGTTTTATTTCCCCAGATCTCGAGATACCTATCTCTGAGGTATATGCTGCCACCCCAATACAACGGATGTAAATGATGGATTGTTCTCACAGTATTGGAAAAATGGTGAATGAATACCAATATCACAATTTGCTTCAAGGGCCTTTGCAATCTGTATGGCACACAACAACCTCTGTTCTTAGAGCCTCGATTTGAACAATGAAAAACTCCCCAAAAACGTTCCCTTTTAACAGGGAAGAGCAACAGAGGAGGGATCCCTCTCCCAGGATGGACAGACTTGCAATATATGTCGTATGTATGGAATAGATTCACAACTGAAATCAAAACCATGAGGTTGATATTTATAGTTTTGAGTGAAATATTTTAACAGCAATTGGATGGCCTGCTATGACGTTTTGTACAGACCTTTGTGGTCCCTAGAGGATTTCTAATTCTATAATTTTGGTGATGCCCTGACTTTTCCTCTAGCAACACCATAAGGTCAAAATTTGAATTTGTTTTGTTTCTTTGGTTTATGATCAAATACCTGCAAAACTAATGTCTCAGCCTCAGCTGTTCATTGTATTTGGCAAATGCTAACACGCTAACATTCAAACTAAGACGATGAACATTGTACGCATCACATCTACTAAACTTTGGCATGTTAGTATTATCATTGTTTGCATGTTAGCATTTTTGTAATTAAGGATAAATAACCCTTTAATTCTTTACTGCAGTTATGAGCAGACCCAAACCTCTGGTCAATTGTTTGCATACACCTGAACCAGTGTCCAGCTTTGTAGTTTCCTGTGAGACTTCCAACCAGACTGAGACTTCCTGAACCCAGGTTCACAATGCAGGGTCCTGTCAGAATTTTGCAGAGATGCTACACTGCACCGCTCTTTACCGAGATCAATACCAGCAATTATTGCTGTTCTTATAAACCTCATAATGTAGTTTAATTTACTGTTTAAATGATTAAAGTCATTGTTAGGCTGCTGGCACAAAATGCGGTCTATTGATTGCTCTTATACAGTCTTTGCTCCCAGTTCAACCTGTGTGTGTGTGTGTGTGTGTGCTGGACCACACAAGTTTAAAGGGCTATTTGAGGGTGAGGACTTGGTTTTAGGGGTAGAATAAGGTTAGGCATGTAGTTGTGATGGTTAGGGTAAGGGGCTATGTCAGTGAGATGTCCCCACGGGGATAGAGGAACGTGTGTGTGGGAGCATTAAAAAATGCTCTAACACTGCATCCAGAGCCACGTGTTTGCCTTGGTTGCCCTGGCAACAACAGAGCAGACAAAGCAGCCAAGTCCTTGAAAGCAGCAATACCAAGAGAGTGAATAGGGCAATAGGGAGATGCAAGGAAACTGTGTGAGTGTGTGTGACTGTACATGTGTGCACAACCACACATACAGTGTGTGGATACATGTTCAGAGTGTTATACAGCAGTACGGCTGGAACACGCAGTGCTGCTGTGTCTAATTTTCTTCCCAATAGGAAGAGGATCAGATATCGGATGTTTCGTTTCCTTCTGTCTGTACAGTCACAAGCACCACTGACCTCTTGAGTCAATGGTGTCATGTTGTTCCCCTCCAGTGCTCAGGCTGACGACCGAGTGAGAGTGGAGAAGATGGACAGCGCTCAGTTTGAGTTTGCCTCTGCAATGAACACAGTCACTGAATTCTACTGCCACTCCCAAGAGAAAGGTGTGTTTGTTTGTGCCCCTTTTATTTTCAGTCTTTTACTCCATATTGCCTCCAGTTACTCATATATTCTCATTCAGACCAAGACAGCCATTCATGTGAAACACTGGATGTGTTTGAGCAGTGGGCCCTGTGACTCATTTTTTTTATCTGTGGAAATGTAGCATGTTTGTGTGCGTTTGTGTGTCTGTGTCCTACAGGCTCTCGCTCTCTGTCGAGTGTAGCATCCTTGGAGAGCCCAGTGATCTGCTGTCTGGGGCCGCTCATCCAGTACCTTCAAGAATTCAACTTAGAAAGAGTTCTTAGGAGTGAAAGGTACATGCCAACAAATGTGCACACACTTACAGGCTGCAAACATTATTATCCACTGTTTCCGCTGTTCTTTGAAACCCTGGGTAGAGCTGAAATGATTACTCAATTCATTGATTCGGTAGATAGACACCTTCCAATGCAAATCCTTTTTTTCCCAATTAGATAATCTTCTGTAACTATAATGATAATTGATTAATCATCATTTCAAACAGCTTCTCAAGTGAGAGATTTTGCTTATTTTCTCTGTTTCATTCTGTAAACTTTTTGGTTTTGGACTTTTGCTTGAACAAAACAAGATATTTGAAGTCTGTGACGGTTCTCTGTCATCCAGGTCATAATTATCCAACGAAGGTTGAGGTCAAGGGCAACTGGATATTAGAAGACGTTTCATCCCTCATCCAAGAGACTTCTTCAGTTCTGAAATGGCCAGTAGGTGCTTGTTCAGTTTCCCAGGAAACTGAACAAGCACTACCTCTTGGCCTCAGGTGAAGATGCCAACAATGGTCGTTCAGACTTGGGCCTCGGGTGGTTCTAATGACCATAACGACTGTCGTTACAACAGCCAGGAGAACTAATGAACCAGTGGTATCGACGATCTTGGCAAGCGACCCCACAGAGGTTAAATAGCTCAGTTCCCCTACTGGTCATTTCAGAACTGAAGAAGTCTCTTGGATGAGGGACGAAACCTCTTCTAGTATCTTCAAACAAGTCCAGCTGCCCTTGACTTTAACCTTCTTTGGAAAAGATATTTGAAGAAGACACCGTGGACTGGGAAGTTGTGATGGGTATTTTTTTAGCATCACATAATGAATTAAACAAAGAATCAAAAAGATAATCTGTAGATTAATTGATAGTTAATATAATCATTAGCTGCAGCCCTAATTCTGGGATAATGTGGGATTTTAGGCCTTACAGGAATATATCACAATGTATTTGACAACTTATTTTATGCTTTAAAATGCAGCTTTATCCATTTCTTTTCTGATGTACAAGTTTGAGGTGAACTCTTACAACACTTATAAGAACAGTTTTCTGTATTTTGATTTGAGTTGCAGAAAGAAATTAATCATTCCAGTTATCACATTTTTAAACCTCTTCCCAATAGATATTGCATTGATCATTTGATTATGCAGCTGTAGTTTAATGATTTTGTGCTCCGTGCAGCTCATTCCGACGTCTATCCTGTGAGTCGGACGGTATGGTCCTCAGTGCCGCCACCCTCAGGAACCTGGAAATCCTCAACAATCAGGTAAAAGCTCATCTCAGCTGGCAGTCATGGCCACTGATCAAGCATAATGAAGGGGTGACGTGTGTCTGGATGATAAATGGTTTACACTGCACCATACTGTAATAATCCTCTAATGTACACTATTTGCTAAACAGACATATCTGCACTTTGTATTTGGCCTACTGATGATAATTGTGCTTTTTTAATAACATTGGCTAGAGCCAGAACTGTTTTTAAGTCAAGTCTCAAGTGTGTGAAGGGAAGTCATGTTGCAGGTCTTCATAAGCATGTCTTTAAGGTCTCTCAATTAGAACTGCAACAGTTAATCCATTAAGTGTCAACTGTTAAATCAGTCACCAGCTATTTTGATAATCGGTTTAAGTATTTTAACAGTCAAAATTCTCTGATTCCAGATTTGTAAATGTGAATATTTTCAGGGTTTATTTATTCCTCTGACAGTAAATTTGAGGATGTCCTCTTTGCGCTACTGGAAACAACAGATCTTTCACTATTTTCTTACATTTCATAGACCACACAACTAATGAATGACTAATGAATCGAGATAATAATTGACAGATTAAAACAACAGTGAAAATAATTGTTAGTTGCAGCCCTACTCTCAATGCCGAACATTGGAGTGACACGGCTTTAGAACATTTTTCTTTTAAACCTGTGTTAATATTGTATTTTACGTAGCCTAATCAAATATCTGTTATTTAAGTTAAGTGACTTACAGCTGACTCAAGTTCAACTCTACTACTCTGGCTTGATGAAGGTCGAGGGAGGCTGCTGAACAAAAGTGCACGTTGGTGATAGTTTTATATTTTGGCAAGCTTTCAATACAACAATGCTGACAGCCAGCAGAAAGAAATGTCATGCAGCTTACCAGTTCAATACAATTCAGTTTTTATTATGTAGCACCAGTTCATACCAGGTAGATAGACACCTTCCAGTGCAAATACTTTTTTTTTTTTTTTATATATGTCAAGACAGTTTACAGTCATGGTTGCACAGCAGTTGTAAACATTTAATGAGTGAGTGAAGTTGTCATTTCCCTGATCACAAGAAAATGTTCAGTGACTAGTCAGACTTGCGTTGGTGATTGCTCAGATGTTCAGCACGACTCCGCTGCGGTGGCGTGTGTGTCACACATGGAGTTCAAGCTCAGTTCAAGCCTCCTCACCTGACTGATTGTGGCTTCCATCACCTGCTCACCTCCTTACTTATTTATTACATCATAGTGTTTTTTTCTTCCCGAAATTTGGCTCATTCAAATGTTGTACGTGCAAGCTGCGATTTATGTTTGTGTGTGTTCTTTCGATCATAGACAGATGGTGGTGTGAAGGGCAGTCTGTTGTGGGTGTTGGACCACACTCGCACCCCGTTTGGGAAGAGACTGATGAGAAAGTGGGTGAGCCAGCCCCTCACAGACCCACAGTGAGTACAAGATACCCTCTGTACTGATTCAGCTTGATTAGCATTAATTAAGCGTCTCAGGCAGCGCTTATGCTTATGCTGCTTTCACTTCATATGTGATGGCTGGTAGAGATGGCGAAGATTCCAGTGTTTATGATTTGTAAGCGTTCATGTCATCGAACAAGTCAGGATGGTTGTGTGAGGATTATTAAATACTGTGCGTTGCCAGTATAACATTATATCCATTAAATTTGGATTTAATTACCTAGAACAACAGACTTTGACTGGCATGAGGCATCTGTGTTTGTGAGATTTATTAGGCACATTGGCTTTATTAGGTTCGAAGTCTGATATATTGACATTTCCCCAGTCATAATTATGACTTGGATGTTGATGTGAATGCCATTTACAAATTGGATACTGGTTATTGTGATCATTTTGATATGACATGAATGCAGCAATACTCCAACGCCGTGTACCATCCCCCATAAAAGCTCTGCTTATTGCACGATTTTGTCGATATTTAGATCAGAGATGTTATTTAGTGCTATGTGTTTTTATTATTTTTCAAGCTGCCTTGCTGCAAAAAGAATTCCCTCATGTGGGACAGGAAAGATCTGAATTTAACTGCTCTGGGGTCTCATTTATAAAACTGTGCGTAGAATCCTCACTAAAAGCGTACGGCAAAAAATATTCAGACTTATAAAACCGTGCGTGTGCACACTTGTAAGGAAGTTCCCTTTATAAATCACAATCACCTTGAAATGTGGCGCATGTGAGGGAGCTCCATGTCCGACCCTTCAAACACCCATAGTTGCCTATAAATGGTCAGTAAAACGCCCCTCTTTAATATTAATACATACTGACTGCTGGACGAAAAGGAGTCAAAATCTGACAGAAAAGCTACAAAATGAAATATAACTCAGTATGACACTGACATTCCTTTTGGTGAAGCTGAAACATGCTGTTTGGTGGGTAAAAAATGCACTTTCACATAACGCTTGTGCACCGAAGGAAAGGGGGCACCGGAGCTCCATCCCTTTATAACCGATGCGCAGGAAGGGGCAACCCTCCTGAGTAGTGACGTCACTGACCGGAAGGGAACACACACGCAAGACGGGATGGCCCAGGTATTAATTTGGATTCCCCCGTTTGAAAGAGAGTAAACCAAATGACTTCCACTTGTGTTTGAATATTTATATAGGCTACACAAACAGTCCACTCACTAAACAAGGCTGCCGATGAGTTAAAATAAATATGGCTTCTTGTAAATGATATAAAATAATGTTTCCATAATGTGTTTTTACAAGCAGCACATCAACATTCACACGCTTGCGCACAGCATTTGGCTTGAAAAGGCAACAAACATCTGATAACAATATATGACACTATGCTCTCCTATTTGCTCGACTGATGCACTGAAAACAGCATCAATTTAAATGTAATTTGTCCTCCTGTTCACCTTATTTATGAGAATAAATTGCACTGCATGCTAGTAGGCTATTAATTAATATGGCTCCTGATTAAACTGTACAACATAATTGAGGCGTTCTTTTGCAGAAACAGATATCTTTGTTTGTGTTTATTATCCTGAATCTGGATCTTTTTGTGTGTGCTGCAAATGATCTTAAATTGTGTGGGTTTTTTTTGCACACTTAAGGGAAAGTCAGTCAAACAGGTGTTTATTCAGAAAGGCTTTAAGCCTATAATACTCAAAGATAATATTTCGATTTATTTTACACAATAGTAGGCCAATTCTTTTTAAACCAATTCATCCTTCTGCCATGTGAGTCGCCGTTTCTCATTTCTCGTCTTCATGCGCGTACGCAAGGTTCAGAGTTTACTTACATGACCGCACATTCTCCCGACAAGTTTGTTTTTTATATATCACAACCTTTGCTTGTGAAGTGGCGTATGCACGTTTCCAGCCCTGTTTTGTATGTACCCACCGTTTATAAATGAGACCCCAGGTCTGTCAATCCTAGCACAAGCTGCAGGATTTGGACACAGCCTCAGAAGCCTGACTGATCAAATTACGCTACACTTACAAGACCTTTGCATGCAGCTTTGCATTCTCTTTAACGTGTCATTTGGACAGAAAGCAGAATTTCACAATGAAAACAAGCGGCAGAATGCACTGTTATTTTAAAATACTCAATATTGGGATCCAAACAAGTTGTGAAATTTGAATGAAACTTGATATTTTCAGAGGAGATGCAGGTTTGAGATAATTGGGGAAACGCAAACTTGATTTTTACAGCATCACCTTGAGATCATTATATGTACCTGACCACTGGGTGAAATGTTCAACCCACCTGCAACATTTTCTGTTTCCAAGTTTTAAAGTTTAAGCTGCACAAACACTATTTAGGCAAGAAAAATCGGAAGAAAGTGTCACAGGATCCAAATGACTCACTATGATCTGAACACCCCCATTGTCAGCAAGTCTGACTTGTTTACTTGGAGATTTGAACTTCAGATCTCCACAGAAGGTGACTTACTGACTGAGGACACACCTTCTCACAAGTTGAGGTAGTGACATCACATGTGCCTGACCCAGATATTTTTGTCAGTTTACATTACATTTATTCATTTAGCTGACTCTTTTATCCAAAGCGACTTACAGTTCCTATATATATGTCAGAGGTTGCACTCCTTTGGAGCAACTAGGGGTTAAGTGCACCATCATCACCCACCAGCAGTTTAAACTTAAAACGCCTACAGTCAAGATGTTGGTAAGAAAATTCTGAAAAAAATCACACATCAATTATTTTGATGGCATTTGATCCAAAGCTGAGCGAAAAAGAAAATGTTGTTCATACTGTACAAGTGATAGCAAGATATTGAATATCAGTGCAGACCAAGGTTATAATCGTTAATGAAGACGAATGAAATAACGAAAACTAGATGTGAAAAAACATTGTCGTTAACTAAAATAAAAATAAAAAATGAGGCTTTGCAAAAAAAGACAACTAACTTAAACTGTATTGTAGGTTTGCAAAACTAACTAAAATGAAAGAGTAAATGAAATAAATAAATAAATGAAAGCTATCCTTAGTTTTCATTTATTTATTTATTTTATAGGACCTAAGCCTACATTTCGAGTAGATATGAAGTCGGTGGAACTGACATGGCGCAGTGGATTAGCAGATAGGCACCTGTTGGGGAGCCACGGGTGTGTTATGCTTTTGTCCTCCGTGTGAAGAGCTGACACGCTGCATGTCGGTCAAGAGAGCCTGGGGTAAGGGCGGCGTCTGGCCACAGCGTAGCAGGTGGCGACCACTGTTATGAGGAGAGCTCCAAGTAACATTAGGGGTAGGCTAACTTAGTCGGGAGACCCAGGTAGGGATCGGCTGGGTAGTTGGTGCGATTTGAACATGTTTTCTATTATCTTTACATGTGTACAAAATAATATGAATGCAACAACTGTATAGAGTTTTGTTTAGTTTGGGTTGCGGGTAGTGAGTCACTGTCTGGGTGGTTTTGCTCTGTTCTGATGGTCTGGCTTAGCATCCTGCATGTGGGATAAACTTGCCCACAGACTGTGAGCTCCCCGTGCACTGGGTTTACGTGTCTGCTGGTCAATATATTTACTGCATGTCAGTTAGTGTGTTTTTATGGGCTCATTGATATCTCAGCCAAACTGTCTCTTTGTGCATCACATTGTTTTAATTCCGATTTTTTATTAATAAAGGTTTAGATTTTAATATAACTGCTTTTCAGTAACACTTGTCACCTGTTGTTTGTGGCTCCAAATGGGGCCTCAACTATCCTCCAGTTTCTTAGCTGTCCATCAATTATATTTCACCTCCATTTATTGGATTTCACCTATATAACCATGAATGAGCTAGGGACTGATGTAATAAATTTCTTGGGACCACTGGGTAGTAGGATTAGGGTAGTTTGCTTTTAGGGTTTCTGTATGTAGGTTAGAAATTATATTGTAGATTGCATGTGCTTCATATATTAGTAGTATTTATTTCGACAATGTGCCAGTACTTCAAAAAAACAAAAAACAAAAAATATATATTTGCTTATTGTTTGGGCCCCTATGTACAAGCTTCAGGTAGCTTAAAAAAGGGATATTTCTGATTGTACTTGTATTTTAATGTTTTGTGAAAAACTAAACTCGACTGAACCAAACTGAACTGAGCTTGGCATCCTGCAGCGACAAAGACTAAAACTAAACTAAAACTAAGCATTTTCCAAAAATAAAAACTAAACTAGTAAACCCAAGTTAACTACTAATTATCACTAAACTTGAATTGAAAACAAAAAGTCAAAACTAAATAAAAATAAAAACTAATGAAAAATCCAAAACAGTAATAATCTTGGTGCAGACTCACCGTTTGGCCGATTTGAATACCCTTTGAAATACTTGATATCGGTCACATAGAGAATATCTGTGTTGATTTTGATAGCGTTTGAACAAAGACTTGTGGAGATATAGATGTTAATTGATTTTTAGCATATCCTGAAAAATATAGAGTGACTGACTTCTGAATTGACCATAGGTTGCAGTGAGGCAAACGTTTGTCACATATCAGTGGATGTGATCTCTAGGAAGTCTCTAGGACTTACAGGTGATTTTCTTAGATTTTTTGAAGTTTGGAATGAGAAATGTCTAGAAACTTACATTTGTTGTAATAAGCCACGCCTACTTTGAGCAATCATTACCAAATTTTATGCATCAGCTGAGTAGTGATTCTAGATCGTACAAACTGAATTTTGTACAAATCCATGCAGCGAATTACGAGGTATAAACTTTTTGCTTGTGTAGCGCCCCCTAGTGGAAGAATATCCCAGGACTGCTCTGCGAAGCCCGGACCGAGCATCTGAACAGATGCGTCAAGTTTGGCGACAATCGCTTTAGAGCTGAGGTGATTCGTCGACGTAATAGATTATGTAAATACGTTGAATTGCATTACGTGCGTCGAATATTACGAGACAGATTTGAAAACTGGGTTGGACTTTCTGGCACAGTACTAAACTGGTTTGAATCCTACTTAAAGGACAGGGAC